ATTATTGCCTCAAATATACCATACTAAAATTAAACTGATAACAGAAAAAGGTTACTAAATCATGGCTGACAGGGAACTAAATGCACCAAGTTAAAATGCATTCCTAATGCTCATCCAGTCTGGCTGAGCCCCTTGGGTCAGTTTGGGTCATTATTACTTTGGAATAATTCCAAATGATTCCCGTGGAGTCTATTGTTATAGTCAGTGGCTTTAGAAAATCCAGAATAGGCTTCAAGTTAAAAATTAAAAAAAATTAAATCATAGGATCTCTATTAGTTTCTAAATTTCTCCTTTTTTAAAGTGTACTTGATATTTTAATAAGGTCATGCTGCGCCACCAGGGTTAATTTCTGTAGTAGATTTTACATACAAGACAATGACTGCTATAGTTGAGCATCAGCATATACAGAATTGCTCAAAGACAGGAAGATATATGGTTAATCCTCCTCCCCAAAAAGAGCTTCACCTGACAGAAGTGGATCATGGTGCAGCTCAGGGACAGAGAGCTTGTCTGACTTGCACAAACAAAGCCTGGAGTTCCATCCCAAATACCATAGGAAAAATAGAAAAGAAGAGGGGGCAAGGAAAGAGAGAAGTCTGTTAGGTGAAGGCAGCAACACTGTTGCAAATGTATGAATGGCCCTAGGAGAAACTCATACACCCATCTCCCATCTCCTGTAACTTCAAGAATGACTTTCCAACCTTCTGTCTTTCAGTTTCTACATAGTATCAGATGTTACAATTTATAGGAAGGATACATGTTTTAGACAAAGTTAAATATCAAATGTTACAATTTATAGGGAGGATATGTGTTCTAGGCAAAGTTAAGTATCTACCAAACACCAGCAAGTCTCTACAGAAGATAATCTTCTCTGAAGGCAACTCCTTTCCGGACACTCCAGGATGGAATACACTGAAACAGTATGTCCAACACAGTAGCGAGCCTTCCAAATTCCTCACCCAGTATTACAACTCTCCTCCAATACATAAATATGCCTTGAGCCAGGCATTATATACCAGTGTGGGGTGGACTGAGGTCATGGCAGCTATTCTAATGGTTGAACACTGTCCCTCAAGTACTGCCATCCACACACAGTGAATGGCTGTGACAGTCGGGGCTCCAGAGTGACAGCAAACTGCCTCTCGGGTGAGCAGCTAGTGGAGGAGAGGGGATGTGCAGAGCAGGTGGGCCAAGTAGAAGATCTCAGAACATTGCTTAGGAATGAGAAGTGAAGATAACTACTATACTTTGTCTGTCCTTAACCCAAGTCTTGAGCAAGTGCATGTTCCTTAGAGGAGGCAGAAGAGTCTGTTAGGACAGCATATTCTTAGGGGATCGGGTGGCCCCTCTCTCTAAGTGCTGTTTACTTTGTAAGTCTTTTTTTGTGACATGGCTGTAGGCAATTCCCACCGCCGTACCAGTGGGCAGGTGTTGGTGAGCTCATCGCCACCGCCACCATAGGTATTCCACGGATATTCATTCCTGGAGAAATGTGGTACGTGCTGGCCACCACCTTCACGATGTGTTGACATCCACTAACGTCAGAAATGGACATGAGGGAAGCTTCAAGTCTTCTACGCCAATGTCCGCAGCCCCCTCTCCAGTGTTCCATTAGCCTCTCCTTGAGTTCTTGTTACAAGCAGAGAATTTGGCAAAGATGTCCATTCCAGCAGGGTTTGACACTGGGGGTTTTGGTGAAAGATTTAAGTACTTGGTGGGGTGGGGTGGGGGGATGATAAGACTGCTTCAAGAAATTCCTCAATTTTATTTACATCCATCTTGATTTCATTGTTAAAAGTTGTAATGGTGGGTGGGTCCCTAGAGTCAAGTTTTGGAGGTTCACAGGCTTCCTCTTTAGGTCAATGGTTGTGACATTAAACACAACTCCTTTGGACCAAAGAGTCGTGAAGAGCCCCTGTGAGAGGGGCCGTTTCCTACGCTTTCTCCATCACTGCCAGCCTTGACGAAGAGCGACAAGGGACTTTGTCCTTCTCCTTCAGCCCTGTCAGGGGCTTCAACAGGGCTGTGGTGGGACGACCTGAGCCAGGACGCCACCGCCACCGTGGAGGTTGTGGCTCTGGAGCTGCTGGGGCTACAGTTCCTTGCTCACTTGCCCCTTTCATTACCTCACACCTCCTGTGACTCTAGTTTCTGGATCTCACCTGGAGGTGTAATCCTTCCAAAGCTCAATTATGGCCAGGTTAATCTAATTACTTTGCTTACAAGAATGATAACCCTTCAGGACTTCCTACTCTCTGGTGAAAAACTTAACTGGATCTACATATAATCTTACTCTCCTGGTTCAGAAGACAAGCCACTAACTACCCTTCCCTTTCCTGCAAATCTTATCTTCCACTGTATTTTAATTCATATGCTCTTTCAGATAACTGCTTGCTAATCCATCTCTCTCAGACGTCCTTACCACAGCCACTTAGAATGTAAGCTTTATGCCAGCAAGACCCTTCCTAGAGCCTCAATATCAAAACTATCACCTGACACAAAGAAGGCACTCAGGAATACAGTTGCCTATAATCTCCAGAATTTAGCTTCCAAAATTACTTCTTATAAATCCATTTTTTGACCTCTGTGTTTTACACAGTAAAATGAATACTTGATGCTTTTATTAAAGAAACTGTGGAATTTTGTTCGTTTTTAAAACTTATATATATATATATATATATATATATATATATACATATGTATGTATATGTATATATGGGGGTGTTTGTGCCATGGAGGTCTGAGGACACCTTGCAGGAGGAGTTGGTTCTCTCCTTCCACCAATGTTGTTTTTTAAAGTCAGCACTTTTATATTTTTGTATCATTCTTTGAAGAGACTACATCACAAAATTGCTGTCACCCTTGCACAAGGTCATGCTAATCTCTGTATTCCAGTTGGTTTTACTTTTCTCATTTAGAAAAAGTATGTACATGTGTGTAGGTGGGGATGTGCACATGAGTGCAGGTGCCTGTGGAGGCCAGAAGGGGGCATCAGATCCATTGGAGCAGGGTGCAGGGAACCAAACTCCAGCCCTCTGCAAGAGCAGTGAGCACTCTTAACTGCTGAGCCGTGTCCCTAACCACTGCCACCACTTCTTCCTCCCCCTTCTTCTTTTTTACCATCTGTCTTTGTTGTTTGAAATAGTGTCTCACTATGTAGCTCTTGTTGGCCTGAAACTTGCTCTATAGAGCAGGCTGGCCTTGAACTCACAGAGATCCACCTGCCTCTGCCTCCCGAGTGCTGGGTGTATGCTGCCACTCCCAGTGTTTCGTTTTTACATTTTAAAAGTAACTTTCATTAAATCAAATTAAATTCACTAATTTTATGCGTTGTTCCAATTTTAGTGTAAGCGCTGCAGAACAAGCTTTTCAAGTTGACACTGATGATTTTGCTAAATATGCACAAAAACGTGCACACTCAGTATTCATTTCTTTAAATTACTCAAAACTTGAAAATAAGCAAAACTGAAACAAAAACAAAAACAATGCTACACACTTTTCAGTGTGGTACTTAAATTTTTACTACTATCTACTGACTAGTTTATTTAGCAAATCTATCAGATGAATTTATAGAATTCTGGCTCATCAAAATGCAAATAATTTCTATCTAATGGAAATGATAGCCAAAGCTTACTCTTTTATGTTCTTAATTAGATTATTAACTAATTTTATATCTAACCCAATGGTTTTAATATTCCTTCAGTAAGTATCCTATAAATACCCAAATGGTCATACAAATGGCTTTGACATCTTACTAGACCTTTCATTAAATAAAAACACTGAAGGCTGGGGATATATGGGTAAAGTGCCTACCCAACCATGCCGGAACACTAGGAATTCAAGGTCACCCTCCATTACCGGCAATTTTGAGGGCAACCTGGGCTATGTGCACCCCCTCTCGAAAATAAGTTTAAATTACGGACATGTGTTCATCTACATTCTGAATTAAAGTCATAATTTTACCTTTCTGAAATGATTTGGTGACATCACCAAAATGTACAAGTAGACTAATCTGACTGAGCCAACACTGTCCCTTACACACACACACAGAGAGAGAGAGAGAGAGAGACAGAGACAGAGAGAGAGACTTCTTACAGAAAAATGATCAAAATTTCTCATTTATATAATCCCAAACCTTCAAAACAGAATTTTGGGTCTAGATAATAAATACCTTTAGAGAACAACTTTACTTCTAAAAAGTCACCTTTGGGCTGGGTGTCATGGACACCTTTAATCCCAGCACTGGAAGTGTAGGGGGCAGAGATGGGTGGATCCGGGTTCAAGGTCAACCTGGTCTACAATGTGAGTTCTAGGACAGCCAGGGCTACACAAAGAAACTCTGTCTCGAAAAAACCAAAGTAAATAATAACATTAATAAATTCATTTTGTAATCTGGCATAGTATCAAGTACTTAAGTTGTGTTCAATGGATGTTAAGTGACCATATGAAGTTAGAATACTTTAAACCATATAAAATATGAATCTGTATCAATAAAATTTTTCTAAAAATTAAATGTTTTCCATGGGTGTGTACTTCAGTCCCATAATGCTAGCTTATTAGCAAATCAGTAGTAATTGTTTTTAACATTCACCAGAGAAACCCAAATTCTCATAAATGTCTTTCTTTCCATTACTATGAAGTAATGGATTGCCTAAAGAGCACCTGGGAAACCAACAGGACACAGAACTTCACAGTAGTGGAACCAAAGACTGGGGCTGGGTGTTACTTCTGGTTTGGTTTCTGACCTAATCTGAAATTTTAAATTTGTATTTGTGCATCATGGATTATATAGAGTCTAAGTCACCTTTTGCTGTCAAAAGTACTAATGGGTATATTCTTGCATCGCATGCCAACACGGGTCTAGCTGATAAAAGCATCTGCCATTCTGTGAGGCAAAAGGGCTAATTACTATCTAGGTATTTCCCCCTTTGCTTTTATTTCAAGATAGAGTTCATTATCACTACTTAACATGCTTTCCATTTCCACCAAGTTCTTTAAATTGACAAGGCTTGGTGTGCACCCCCAAGGAAACCAATAAACTCCTCCTCTTGAGAATTATGTCAATGGAAAATTCAAAATTCTGAAAGTACAAGGTAATGTTTTTACCATTAAAGTGTCTTTCCGTTCCTAGAAATGCATGATGAGTTATTGTTCAAGTGTGGTTGCTGTTGTTGCTGCTGCTGGTGTGTGCTTGTGTGTGTGCATGTGTGTGTGTGTGTGTGTGTGTGTGAGAGAGAGAGAGAGAGAGAGAGAGAGAGAGAGAGAGAGAGAGAGAAACAGAGAGAGAGAGAGAAACAGAGAGAGAGAGAGAAACAGAGAGACGGGAATCCTGCATGAAGGCCAGGACAACTTTTTGGAGCCAGTTCTACCCTACCACCTTTATGTGGGTTCCAAGAATGAAAACTCAAAGCCACCAAGCTTGTTTTGTTGGGCATCACCCTTCCCCTGCTCAGCCTCTGGCTGGCCTAGGATGTTGGCTTGTTTTCTTTTATTTTTTATTTTAATGTTTGTTAATTTTGCAGAAAAGGCAAAATGTCTCAGGAGCAGCCCTTGTTCAGGAGGCAAGACTGCTAACCCTGAGCCCATGTGTCTGACTTACAAAGAGACCTTAACGATGGCAACAGAAACCACTGTGTAATTACCTAACTTCAGAAAAGACTGACACCAACTAGTGCAAGACATGCGTCCTAGCAATGCATCCAAACTTCAAAAGATTGATTTGCCTGAGCCGCCCCCGACTGTCCCTCAAAGGTGACTACAAGTTCTCAAAGCTGTAAGAAACTGACCAAATTTTGGGAGGTAGTCCCTGTATTCAGGTAAGACTTCTGCAGGAAGTGGAGAGGCACTTTAGATTCACCTCAAGAGCTGGAAAACGAATACTATGACTCACTGACACTTCTTACACATGTGAAACACACATCCATACTACCAAAAAGAAAAAGGAAAAGAAAGGAAAGAAAAGAAAAAAGAAAAGCACTACTTCACAAGCGAATGGGCAACCTTGGCAAGCAAACCTCCCGAGGTGAACATCCCCCCTCACGCCCCAAAGAACTTAATTAAAAGTAGTTCCTCGGTGCAAAACTGCATTTGTTTTTGAAACTAAAAAACCAGCGGGACTTTGTCTTGCCCGAATCCAGCCTGAGGACAACAAATTGGTCAACGGCGGAAGTTGCCTGACGAAATGCCTGCAACATGAAATCCAGTTTTATGATCATAACAAAACCTTCCTTCCGGGACCAGGCCAAAAGAAAA